TTGACTATATTGGGCGAGTTCGTATGCCATATGTTGCCTATTATTAGGAGCGGTGCAATTTGATGCCTATATCGGGCAATCAGTGTTGAGTAATGTCATATGAAATTACTTTCGTTACACAGAATTCTATGCTGCGCTGTCGATTGGAATGTTGTATTGACGATCGGGAAATCACTGAGGAATACGTCATCCATAAGCGTCGATATGACACTCTACTGTCTGACACCTGATATACAGACATAGATTTTTTGGATTATCATTATCGTGAAAACATTTTGTACCCTGCCGGTGAACTTGCTGCTCAATTTGTTGACTCTTATAGCAATATGTGTAAGACTTTTGTAACAACTAAAGTAGTAAAAATCCTGCTGTGTAATGCACTATTAAACAAATAATTTTAGTCAAATAACATAGAATTTAATAAACATAGATAAGATTATGCTAAAATTAACGTCATACCAGAAACTCTTTGCTTTAATATCCAAGATGTAAATTATTTATCACTTTTTTGCTACGTACAATGGTTAATATTTAATTTATGTATATATATTTATAGATCACGTATAGTAAATAGTATTATTTTAAGTTAGTAACCGGATGCATTATAATTGCCAACTGCTTATAAATTATTCAAAGTTGGAATAGGTAATTGGTAGTTGGAAATGTCTCCGATAGGACTATCTGTAGACGCTTATTGTAATTGAGTGATGTCAACTGTACTGGTGTCGATTGTATTAGAGTCACTTTCTGTAGAAGAAACTAGTGGTGTTGAAGTAGTGTTGTTTGTAATAGAATTATTTTTCTTTCGACCTTTCCAAGTCCAAGTTCCCAAAAATTCGCTAATTTTGTTAGAATGTTTTTTAGCATTCAAATGTTCCAAATATTTTTGGTCGACCACATAATCCTTGAGAAACAATTCCAAAGCGTCTAGTCGCTGTTGTAACGTCCTATTATCTTGAAAGGATAAATTACTTGATGAAGTTAATACATCCAGTGTCGATGAATTATCCAATAATCTGGAAGATTGTAATGGTAGTACGGGAAATAATTCACCAAGTCGCGGACGAGTTGATCGGACAAAGCAGCAACAGTATGAATGGATTATACCCCATGGTGTTAAAAGTTTACTGCCTAAGAAAGCGAATTCGAAAAAACAGATTAAGTATATAAAAAAACAAATTATCAACCACAGTAAAAAGAACGTGTCAGAACATTACCAAATAAACTAGTGTATGCTGTTATGGCTAAGCTCCACGCACCACCAAGCAGACCCAATGAACCGAGCACTTGTTTAATAGTAGTTAAACGTATTAATTACATGCTATTGTTAATAGCATAAAAATGCAATACTTTCTGGGTAGTTAAACTTACCGTGTTTGTTCTGGTTGTCAATGTAAATATAAAATTAGTAAAATATTTTTTATGATATTCACATCTTAAATTAAAGTAATTACCTCCTTTCCGTGTCCGTTCTAACAAGAAAACTATTAGGACTTATATTTACTGTTCCGTATACATTTGGTTTTATTGTGCTATAATCTTCAGCCAAAGGACCGCTCGCTGTAATATTATTCAATATTAGTATATAATAGAAATGTGCCGTAATTGAATTCTTATTTGTGTTCTTACTCAATGCGGTAGTCAAATAAGGTATACGAATAGTTTGCGAGAAACCAATGGCAGCTAATATATTGGGTTTAATAATTATTCTCTCATTTTCAGAGTAAGTCAAGTAATTAGCTTGGTGGTAAAAAATTATATATTGCGTTTGTTTCAATATAGAATCGACAAACGTTGAATCAATGTTTCTGACTTCATTAATTGTCTCATTGTTTGTGTTTACATAGGTTTCTTATTTTATATACAAAAAAAATTTTTTAGTACGTATTTGGGGAAAAGTAATAGCAAATAATAAGATCAATGCACCAAAAGATTACCAGTGTCAATGAGTCGAAGTAATATTCGATAAATATTAATATCAGCAAGAGAGAAATTTGCATCGTTAACAGTCATTTTAAGCAATACTCCCCGAACTCCTTCTTGTTGACTTTCACTCGGTATTACTTTTAAACTCAGAGGAGGCGTAAAGAGACCTACATAAACACCATAGTCTGCTGGCGTTGGTTGTGTAATATACTTGGAGCACTCATCTATTGTTGAAGCAGTTGCTTTAGTAGAATACGTACAGCATAAAATGTATAACTGTTAATACCTTAATAGTTTGTGGTGCATCTAATATATTGCTCAACTAATTGATTGTAAGATAGCAAACCAATTTGCGGCAATAATATAGTGACAACATAAAATTTTAATATACATAACACTTACTTCTATACTGTAAAACGCAGCTTATGGTGTATTTGTATTGAAATGCAATAGCCACGCTTGGAAGTTTCATGTCAGTTGTTGTTTTTAACTTGGTAGTTACGACTGGAGTATCTTTAACGATGTCATATGTAAGACGCGTTGTGTATGATCCTAAAATAATAAGTATAACAATCATACTAAAAGTGCGGCACTTAAATATTGATTTTGGCTCGGTTTTGCGTCTTTCGTCAAATACTAACAACATGATTGCTGAATATTAATATAACAGCGCATGTAACTTTTGGCTTTCACGTTTGAGCTACTTACTTTTATAGTTTTATTACAACAATTAACCCATTGTTGTAGGCATTAGTGTATGTGTCTTTGTTTACATCAATTAGGTTTCAACCATGCATTACGTCATATTGAATATTGTCAAGCCAAAACACGGACTCGCGCATGTAATTGCGCCAAACGCAGTTTAATTGTTTAAATTTCCTAATTTAAAATTTGTTTACCCGTGTATAACAAGCGACTACTTTTTGGCTATTCTTCGATTGATTTGCTGTAATCGATTTCAATAACTCTATCGGACTGTTAACAAGTACAAGCCACATATGATCAAAATAATCTTATCAAGCTGTTAGTAAGCACAACCATGTGATCGAAATAATCTAATCACAAGTGCAACCATATGATCAAAACAATATCATCTTGAAACTTTAATGTGACATTACGCCAAGGGTTTCTTTTTGCCATTCGTTCGAGCGTATGTTCGCTAAAGATCTCAACTTAATTGACTTGTACTTGCCCTCAAAACTTATTTTCTGCCCCTTTTTTATAGTGTGACTAATGACTAATATAAACATATATGATTGAAGCAATCAATTGTTTCAGTAAGAGATAAAGCATGTGGAAAAATTACGTATTTGGATGCATGTGTACAAAGCAGTAACGCAGTTAATTAACAAACATTGTTCCTAAAATTGTTATCCATGTGTTACTGTAATGTCAACAACCAATAAAATTGATTTTCTGTACTGGTTACGCCAAATCAATTATATTGTTATAAGCACCGTTTACATCCGTCATCTGCCGCTCTTTCCGTAATAATTCTGTTAGTATAATTAATAACACACATATTTTTGGACGACTCTCTTAAAATCCGAGCGGTGTTTATACACCGGATTATTCAAGATAATGCAGATTACTGTAGAAAGCAACGGATAAATACGCGATTAAATGAGAACACGGTATCAAAGAAGCAATACTGATGTGGTGTGATGTAGTGTGATCCGATGTGGCGATGTGGCGTAATCTCTGTAAATATATATATAGTAATGCGTGTAATACAATATAAGTCGTAATAGACTATGACGTAATGAAACTCGTTGCCATAATTTAAATTGCGTTTGAGTCTGTTAAACGCCAAAGTGGCGTGATAAGAATTAGAGTTATAACATCACCATGCAATCCAAACTTAAATACAGGCGCACTACCTCATTCCCTCCACATATTCAAATTAAATTCTAAATAAAAATCTAAATAAAGAAAAAACAATGTCTAATAAATACACATTTATTAATTATACACCCCTCTTAACAGAAATGTTTTCATAATAAAAGTAGTCAATAATCATAAAATATAAAGAAAAATGAGGCTTAACCATATACTTATGTTATGTTTTTCATGTGGCCCTTCTCCACACTAAGTAGTTCAAATAACAATTTTTTATTCATTAGTCTATACTTTCTTTCCTTGACTCTATGTTTCGATTAATGTTATTAATGTAGGATTTCTAGCACCGACTGGAGAGTAATATCTGGATTTACAGAGATGACATCTGATACTTCTTTACAAATATTTGAAAGGTAGATGTTATAAGTTGTTTAATGTTTGCCTTTTAATTTTTTTTTGAGCACTTTTCTCAAAGCACGATTATCTCTATCAAACGTTATCTCCTTCCTGGGTGGGCACGCTTTATATCCAGAATTATCATAGGCTTTAATTACTTACCAACGGTTGAAGGAAGGTAATTAGTGTCTATGTAATTGTTCTTATAATTGCACTACATTTCCAAGCATATTTTGTGTTTTGGATAATTCAACCAATTCTTAATTTGCCCTCTGCAAAATATACCGTTTGCATATTTGAGACTTTTTACTTAGTCACATAAGATACATTAAACCAAACTTTCGGAGTTGTTATGAACAAAATTCGGCGACTACAGTTCGAAAATTGCTAATGTATCCTGTAAGCAGGCAACAATTAATTAATTGTATTATAAATAATGCAACTTTCTGTAGAGAATAATAAATTTATGGTTTGTGAAATATACATAAACGGTGTCCAACAGCCGACTGAAATGATTTTTAACTGAAACAAAACTTACCCCTTTCATTACGTATACAGCAAGGAACAAGAATATGTTCTAAATAATTCTCTGATAAAAAAAGGTATTTGCAATAGAACTACCGGAATTGTCATTGATTGGACAAAAAGACACTATCCGTTTAAGTAGCATTGGTGTCCAGATGGAATAACATACTGCTGGATATCTCTCTCACAGATAAATCAGCATTACGACGTAAAACGCAAGTATCATTTTCTCAATTCTAGATAGTCAGATGTTTTCGCAGACCAAGCTTATGTATATTTATCAGTCATTGTTTAACTTGGCATAATCTTAATGGAGCTTTCCTGCACAAGGATGGATGTAATCTAATCGCACATAATATCTACTACATGACCGATATTTATACGACTGTATCTTAATTTATTGAATAACTTTTTTAAGTTAGTAAAATTGACCTCATTTGTTTGAGGTTACTTTGTTTAAAGCATTTATTTAATTATTTTATTTTAATAATTCTAATTTAACAATATTCTCCTGTTATACCTTCGAGAAAAATTAGACTATTATACTCGCCATACTTTGCCCGGTTGGCCGGCTCGGCACGACTAGTCTAGTTTAATATAAACAATAACCATTAACAAATATATAACAGCTAGCCACTCACCTCTGTTCTGTTTCCGTTCTGACAATAAAACCGATAGGTCTTAACCATGTTATACTATATTTACGCCAAAAATATAGATATACGTGTAACTAATGCGCCACCGCAGTCAAAGTTGTTTTGTTTAAAATGTTACTGTTACCATGTATAACTGAAGCGATTATATTCTTCAGTGTTAAGTACACTGTTACCTATAATTTTACAGTAATATAATAGTCTGTTTCAATAACTCTATTAGATTGAAAATACGTAAAAGTCAAATCACGTTTGTTAACCGAAATGCTGTATGACCAAAAATAATCGCATCACAAGTAAAAATCATACGATCAAGACGATATCATCTTGAAGGCCGAAAACTTTTTAATGTCACGTTCGATAAGCAGCTTTTTGTGACAAGTTTTGCTATTTGTTGAACGTATGTTCGCCAACTAAAAACTTAATTATCCAAACTTATTTTTCTCCCTACTCCCTTTTTTTTGCGGTGTGACTAATGACTAATGTAAACATATAATTGAAACAGTAGATTGTTTCAGTAAGAGATAACGTATGTATTTGGTTGCATGTCATGTGTACATATCATCAACGCAGTTAATTAACAACCATTGTTCCTGAAATTGTTATGTGTTGTGTTACTGTAATGTCAACAACCAATAAAATTAATTTTCCGAACTGGTTACGCAATTATTATACTAGAGTTATAATTGAGTATTTATTCGTCGTAATAATTCTGTTAAATTTAGGTAAGCATAACCTACGACAATAATATAACGTTAATTCTGAACAATTTTTAAAAATAATCGGTATAATTATATGCGAAATAGATTACCAGCAGCGGTCCGATTGTTACATGAGAGCACAAAGCAAATTGTATTTGAGTTTTGGGTAAAAAAATAAACATTAATGGTATTGTATGATATGACCAAAGAAAGCAAAACAGTCCAGAATATGACACACGATATAATTAAAGCTAGTAAAAGTTTATCGTAGCGCAATTTATAAAATGTGATAAATTTAGAACACTTAAATAATTGGTTTGGGCTACGGTATAGTAGTAGTAGAGGTTATAAGATATCCTTCCAGTTGTATTACAATAATAACTCTAATTTTCAGAAATAACAATACCGAATCACACGGGCTTTTACAAATTGTGGATTATTTTGAAGAAGTTTAGATGTATTTTGCCTTAAAAGAGGAGTTACTGTATATCAATGTACATAACTATCCCAGTTTTTCTAATTCGAGACAGAAGTAAGCAACCCTTTTACAGATTTCATTGCATCTAGTATCATCAACCTGATCGCTGTGAGATTTAGCTCAATCTGCAGATTTTCAAACTTTTAACAATTTGTCGCTAGAAATATAGACATTCAAATTCGCTATTATTAACGTAAATTTAAAAACCATGCTTTAGGTTTTAGCAAATTTTCGTACTTTTTTTTTCTTTGTCAAATACCTGTCTTTACGTTTGCATTGATCAAATAAGAAGGCAGTTATAAATTATCATTATACTTGGGTTCGATTGACCAAATATTCCTTGATAATCAATTCCACAGCTTCCAGTCGGCGATTCTGAAAATAAAATTGTTCAATACAATTGATAAGTCCGTTGACGATGATGGTGACGATTAGTCATCTGATAGTTAAAAGATTACATTAGCATTGATTAATTGTAACTCTAATACTCACCAGTCCTGTCACATTGTGGCTTAGTTCAACCATAAAATCCAACATCTGAACTTGCTGAGCTTGTACCTTGTTCAAGACCTCTCTCAGTATCTTAGTCTGACTTTCAAGATCAGCAAAACGTTTGAGAAACTTTTGATAAACACTCTGAGTATCAGCAGTATTAGAATCTTCTTTTTGGATATGAGGGGAAGCAAGCTTCTTGTGGTGTTTGATTAACAGGGGAGGAAATTTGTGGAGATCTCAAGGGGGAGGTGGAACATAAGGGCGTTGATAAGGAAAGTGAAGGTGACGTTGTCATCATAGCATTCAGATCATTCTCTTCATAGAGCCCACATTGATCTTTTAAACACATGTATTGATTATCTAACATTCTTTGTGCCTTGTCCAAAACTGACATAAGGTAATATGGATCGTCTGTAACTTCGCAGAACGGATTGCTGAATATATCCTTTTCATCGTATATTCTAGGACATTGAAGCATAGACTGAGAATCAGAACCAAAGAGTGTATGCAAAAGAACTGAATCGTCTCCATGCAGATTACATTCCACTGAATTCGTTTCTTTATCAACTTCATCTCTTATTTTGTTATCCATCTCCCTTGTACTATCATGATTTCCCAGATTGTTTCCAGAACTTTGTCCATCATTTTTCCTATTATCAATATCACTTTTCTCTTCTTTGCCGTCTTTTCTTTCACTCTCGCCGCTCAATTTTTCATCAATCATTTTTAACGTCACTTCTTCAGTTTTATTTATTCTTGTAGTTGTATCGGAAGCCGAGGGGGTTGAAGATTGTTCTTCCTGGCGTTTATAATCTTCAATCATGGTGACTCCGTGTACGCGTAAAAGGCTGACAGGACAGTAAACTTGATGACCGTAGTGGCTTACAAAGTCTATATGAATATAACGGGCCCAAAGGAGAGGATCTTTTACTTTGAATACCTAATAAAAGCGATAGTAATTCGCATAATGGTAAAGCATCATCATTAAACTGTTACTATGCTGTATTGTCCAACAATAAAATCGATAACGGTAAATCTTAACTTTACAGGTGGGTGTTATATCTGTCGTATGTAAATCCCGTCGCCATGTAAATCCCGGATTTACATATTAATATGTAAATGCGGTTTTGGGGTCCTTGACGGAATTTACGTACGACATTCATCTATTTATTTTGGGGTCCTTGACGGGATTTACATGGTGACGGGATTTACATACAACATATCCAAATACATTAATCCAAATTGGTAAGCAATCACATGTTCTCAGTGTAGATTTTTTTCCTTACCTGTAATTCTCTTGTCTCTTCAGCTTTATATTCCCCCAATAAACGCCACGGCTTTTCTTTTCTAGGCGGATATTCATTGTTGACGGATATTCTAATATGTTGAAATGTTGACGAGAAAAACTCGAAATTGGCAAGCACGATCGTATCGATCAAGATATCATCGCATAGCTCAACAACTACAAACTTTTCAGAGTCGTATTCATTAAGCATATATTGATCCTTGTCTTCAGTGAGAATAGCATGAGCAAATCTGGCTCCTTTATTTGTGTTTAATATCATTGCTGCACAGACACGCGAAGCATAATTAAATCGTTCTTTGAGATCCGAAAGATCAGAAGATTGTGAAGACGGTGAAGAATAAGAAGAGGATGGAAGTAGTGATGGTATGTCCTTGAACGGTTTGTCATAATGAGACATAACGTAATCTTCTTCTCGACGATCGTTAAAGAAGAGAAAAGGAAAGCAGTGGCTATGAATCCTTCGCCATAGAATGTGTCATGTATTAACTTTTTTTGCTGCGTCTTATTCTTTCTATCTAGTCTACGTTCATTTGACTCTTGATTTCCATTCTTCAACGCGTCATTCGTAATAAGTCGATTGTTGTCCAACCTTTTGTCTTCATTTTCTTTCTCTCTTATTCTATCGGAACCGCCAACGATTTCTGTCGTCATATTGCCAGTTGATAAACTGTCATTAAAGACACATTTGTCAAGACACGGCTGAGTTGCAATAGCAGTAGTTTGAATCGAGGCGTAGCTGGACAGCGCGTATGTCGAGGGCAGTGAAGGTAATGGGTCACTATGTAAATGGGGAATTAAGTTTGTGTTTATAGAAAGAAACATTTGGAATGCAAAAAGTAATTGGCATTGTATGGAGATTAGACGCATAATTGTTATCTATTTTAACGATTAAAGGAGAGGAGGGAGAAGAGAGGAGAAAGATGAGTTGTGAAAAGACTAATCAAACTGCAAAAAAATTTAATCTCCATTAAATAATGCTACTATATAATCAGGTGAATTCTTATAAAAAAAAGGACAAATTTGGAACTGAAAGGAAAATAGAACTTGACGGTATGACCAACTGTGGCAAGTTGTACGCCAGTGACCAACTGGAATGGATATGCTTCTAAGCCACGTGATTAGATTTCCAAAGCTTGAATTATCAATTTACTAATCGTTCTAAATACATACAGCACACTAATCGTTCTAAATACATACAGCACACTAATCGTAACGACTTGGTAAAGTAGCCAAACACTATGTTAATAACTAACGTAGAAATATAAGCGGCTAATATAACGTAACATTATAATATGCTGACCGTTATTACCGCAAGGCTCCAGAATTGTTTGAATGTAGGAGTTTCCGCGTTTTTTAGCTATACGGAGTCGTTAAGAACAGCCCTCCATTCATCATTAATATCATCATTGTGTCTAAACCGTATTCACCACTAACATCCTCAGTTGTTTTTGACCTTCATCAATTATTATTTCTGCTTCTTCAGATGAGAGTTCAACACTTTCGGAGAAGCGTTCTAGGTGTGATAGGTGTGATTCACTGTTTTCAGCACTATACGTAACAGCATTTGCATGTATACATTGCTCCAACCACTGTTACCTTGACCGCGCGACTATAAGTTATATCAGCACGCATCTGTGTAATGAAAACCATTTTCCAAACTAAGTGGAACGTAAAGCAAACATTTAACAAATATAATACAGTCGGAGAGAGATTCCGAATTTTGTAGATCAATTCTAGAATAATCTGCAATCGTATTCGAAATCTGATTGGCGTTCGACAATATTAACATAGAGAATTTGATGACGCTTTATCGATCGAATACTTCAAATAAAAATCGAAACTAACAGTAGAAACATACTTTTACGAACATACAGTTTTCAGAATGCACGAGGACCCACGCAACTTTATGTAGTAGGTTTCTGTTAAATTGAGTTTAA